ACCCCAATAAATCCAGGTATGGGGCAGAGCAACTAGGGGAAGAAGACCAAGAAAGAACTGCAGGGAGAAATGATGGTGCAGATGCTGGAGAGTGGAGGGATGATGCTGTATCTCATAAGTCCACCAGCTTAGGTGGTAGAAACTTGGATCTTCGAGAAGGCCTAGTTGACCAGTCCCCTAAAGATGCTATTAAGATGATAGACAAGGACAAGGTGAAGGCAGCACTTGAGAAAAGGAAGAAATCTCGAGGGGAGACAACACGAAAAAAGGATATTATGGATGAGGATGATCTTATTGAAAGGGAACTAGAAGATGGGGTTGAGTTGGCAGCTGAGAATGAGAAAATCAAACAAGAGAGAAGGCAGAGCTGGTCTAAAACTGAAAATCCAGATTATATTAACGATTATGCAGAAATTGGGGATGGAAACCATGTGATCATGAAAGGACAGTCATCATGTGGAGCAGAATACGCAGAAGAAGGGGAAATGTTAAATGATGCTTCCCCCATACTGAATGACCGGAAAAGAAAAGGGAGCCCGGCTGAAAGGCAGTCAGATGGAAAGAGGAGGCATGATTACAACCGTGATACCATGGAAGATGGACACAAGATGGGGAAGAGTGGTCATGCGGAAAGGGAGCACAGAAGGCATCCACAAGACAATTATTTGTGAGGTAAATGTCAAAGGCACCCTTTGTATTTCAGTTATGTGGTCAGCATGATCTCGGGACTCTTGAGACTATGCCTGAACACTACTTATTAGTTTGATTGTGGATTGCCTGTATGGCATGCTTCATTGTAATACAAGATAATGGATGGGATGCTTTAAATTTTGAAAGTGGCATAATCACCCAAAAAAACAACTAAAGGAAAGAAAATGAAAGCGGTCGTTACATTCACTTGTGCTACGTCGATGTTTAGACTGTAACTGCTGTTTTCTGCTTGATATCATTCTGAGTTTATTGATTGATCTACTTGTATTCACTTGCATGGCTTCGATACATCACTCCACCAGTCCAAATCACAATCCAGTTGTAAATCACGAGCTATTGGTTTATGAATATTCAAGTTATGTTTCAATACTTTAGGTTTTGAATTGATGGTTTTGTGAGTTTTTTTTTTATATGGAAGTGGCTGAGCCTTTCTTTACTCCTCTAATGAGATGAGATTCTAAATCCCTTTTTATACCTTTTTGGGTTTTAATTTGTTGAAGCCAGAGTTTCCATCATTGTTCTTGATCAATGTGGGAAAAGCTTTGCAGTTTATATATATTGGATTGGCCATCATTGCACTTGAAAACTATGTTTTGATTATTTAGAAGAAATGTATTATTTTCATCGAAATTGTTTTTTCTAGTTCATGTGTAAAATTTTGTGACAACAATTATTTATTTATTTAGTTATTAACAACTTAATTGATTGAATAAAAAGAAACAATAATCAGAAAAAATGTAAAAAACTATAACAATTTGAAATATAAAAGTGTATTTTTAATAAAAGAGTAAATTTTCCCATTTACGCACTTCTTTTTTTAATTCTTTTGAAGAAAATTATGATCATGAAAATAAGTTTGAATTAAAAAATTGAGAATCAATCATCTCCTCAAACATGAATTGACTTTAGAAAATAGCAATAATAAATTTTTAAAAATTATACAAAATGAGTACATTATTTAAAAATAATTTATATTAAATTTATACATTATTATCAATAAAGCAATGAATAATATTGTTATAAAAAAATCCTAATATTTTTCGGAAACAATGAGATTTTTTTTTCAGGAGCATTTTTTTGAATAAAAGACTAACAATTAAAATAGGGGTTTATCAGAATTCTCAATAATTTCAAATAAATAGAAAAAAGATATTTCTTTAATCTAATCTCATTTTCTTATTAATATATCTTTTTTTTTTTAACAAAAACTTGTTTTTTTTTTGTTTTGTTTTTTATTATTGCAGGCATTGTTTTTCAAATAAAAATCAATCATGATGTTAGAAGTAGTTTTTTTAAATATTGAAATAACATCTTAATATTTTATATATGATTGAAGAAAAACTATTTAACAAATATGATAGAATCATATACAAATATATTAAAAAATTTTAGTTTCATTAAATATTCATGAGAATTGTTTTTTGCTCTAACACATACTAATTGAAAAGAAAATTATTTGCATTCCCATGAATAACCTATAATATTATTTAACAATCATGGAAAATTAAAAAATAATTAAATTATCTTGTAATTATTTTACACTGCATTTCAATTAAAATAAAAAAAAAACACATATAAAAAATAACTAATGCCTGAGTTAGCCCAGCAAAAAAAAAAGGCTCAACATGTCTGGGCAATTTATGAATTTAACCATGACTGGAAATTTGAGGGTTGATTCGAACTTGTCTTCACAGTCGATGAAACAAGAGAATGTCGTCTTATCAGCAGCACATATGGATCGGTAAAAGAGAGTTCAAGGTAAGCCCACGAACACAGTAGCCATTAATTTTAAGCTGATCTCTTATCCAAAAGCTATGGAAAGATAGCCAGAGAATCTGAAACCCACAACAAAACACCCCTAACCAATGGCAACTGTCCAGCTCAGCTTCCATCCTCCTTCCACCTTATCCCCGTTATCACCACTAATTCCTCCTTCCAAGAATCTAAAAACCATCTCTCCACACTCTCCCTTCAATCCTCCTTCCTTGTTTCAACTATCCTTTCTTTCCGATTTAACACTAGATTGTAAGAAAGGAAGGAAAAAAACCCTAAGGCGAAAATGTCACTTACTATACCAAGCAACCTCTCCATGTTGAAGCCAAAACTTGGGGTCTCTCAAATGACCCCAATAAAACCAAGATCTATGATTGTATGTTCAGCGTCACAAACACCATCAACACAAGAGAAATCATCATCACCACTCCAAGCATTCTCTGCTGCACTTGCACTCTCTTCAATCCTCTTATCAGCCCCGCTTCCTGCTGTTGCTGATATCTCTGGCCTAACCCCATGCAAAGATTCCAAACAATTTGCCAAGCGTGAGAAACAGCAGATTAAAAAGCTAGAATCTTCTCTAAAACTTTATGCACCAGATAGTGCACCTGCTTTGGCTATCAAAGCTACTGTCGAGAAGACAAAAAGAAGGTTTGACAACTATGGGAAGCAAGGGTTGCTATGTGGCTCAGATGGGCTACCTCACTTGATTGTGAGTGGTGACCAAAGGCACTGGGGTGAGTTTATTACACCAGGGATTTTGTTCTTGTACATTGCTGGATGGATTGGATGGGTTGGTAGGAGTTACTTGATTGCTATAAGTGACGAGAAGAAGCCAGCAATGAAGGAGATCATCATTGACGTGCCTTTGGCTACTGGTTTGATCTTTAGAGGTTTTTCTTGGCCTGTTGCTGCCTACAGAGAGTTTGTCAACGGTGATCTTGTTGTCAAGGATGTTTAGATGACCGCCCAGGTTTGTCTCTTTTTTCTATAGTTTGTGTAAAAATCATTCATGCTTTATTCACTTAGAAATCAGATATGGATGGATAATCTTCCACAAACATAAATCATGTAATTAAATTATAACCAGATACCATATTTCTAGTAGAATTTCCATTTACTTGCATGGGCAGTTCCAAATTGTAATTATAGTTAAGAGTATGAGGTCTATTTAGAACTGGCGCGGGGATTTTGTTCCCATTTTATTTATACTATTCAATGAACTAGTTTTCTTTTTTCTTTTTTCTTTTTGTGTGCGTGTGTGGCATTTTGACTGTTTCATTAGTGATTGGTGGTGGGATTAATTAACGGGCCAAAAATTAAACTAAAAATTATGTGCTTATTTAATTTGGTTCTTCGATGCTAATGCCAATGTTGATTTTGTTTTTATCACTACTACTACTTTGGTACAGATATATTTGAGGGACTGGCTAAGGAAAGGAGTGCAAGAGTGGTGCATTGCTTGGGATCGTGTGTTGATGAGGAGGGGGAGGTTTCTTGTGTTTTATTTCTGAACATTTACTTGTATGTATCGAATGCTTATGTTGGACACTATGAAAATCTCAAGACAATGTTTTTTTTTTTTTTTTCCCTTGTGCGATAAGAAGTTGACTAATTTATCAAAACTTATTTTCTTAATTTATCAGAACTTATTTTCTATAATATTATTAAACATTAAAAAACAGAAATTCATTTTTTAAAAAAAAATTATTTTCCAGCAACACAAAAATCACCGAGAAATGTGCCATGCCATTCATACTCCAGCGAGGAAAACAAAAACATAGAGAGGAGTAGACTAGCTGCCTTGCTTATTATCGCTCGCAGCTTTGCCTAGAAAAAGAAACTTGCTCTGGAGTAAGTAATTGATCTATTTGGTGACATTTAGGATTGTTGCTAGAAATAACCAGGAAGGCTGCTGCTATAAACATTTCTTTCTTAAAGTTTCTCTGAGATACTCTCATTGTTAAAGACTGGAGGAAGAAGACGAATACACCGACCTCGAAGTTTGATAAACACGTTTAATGGGCTTATACTTGATAGTAAATTTGTATAATGGGTGCCCATGGCTTCCTTCCATGGAGACAAAAACTTGAAGTTTGACAAGTCATTTCATTGGGCCAAATTATAGGTAAGTAGCCTAAGTTTTCTGCTAGCATTTCAAGCCCGTTCCTTGCTTTTTGTAGCTTCAGCAACTAAAACTAATCATCATGGGCATGTTTTCCTACTAAATTAGCATGAATTACTCGCAGATTAAAAGGAAAAAAAAAAAAAGGATTTGTGCAAATCACAAACAGTTGATCTGGCATGCAAGTCTATATCAGTAGATGCTTGTGTCCGTTGCTAGTTCTTCACGTATCTTATAGACTTTCCAACCTCTCGATTCCAGTCCCATCGATGGAAAGTTGGGGATAGATGTGTACAAATATGAGCATCTGATATTCTTATAAAAACACAATATACAAAATCATTATAGAATCTGCACATTATCAACCACAGTGAAAACATTGCACCATGACTAAAAACAAAAGAGGGAAAACCAAAGTCAATATATTACTTAGCTTATATGGAAAATCCATCCAATGTTTACCCATAAAGTCCATAATCAACCAATACATAACTATTTACTATAGTGTTAAGTCAGTTAATCTAGAAACAAAATATTTAAATAAATTTACGTTGAGACAATCACCACTAATATTATCACTCAATTACTATTATCACTACGGGTATTATTACTATTATCACTACGAGCATTATCATTATCATTACGAGCGCTACTATCATTATCATTACTACCATTACCATTACCACTACTATTTTGTGCTATACCCCTTTACCCATACAAATACATAATTATGATATCAAAATAAAAAAAATAAAAAAAATATATATATGTAGATTGAAAACATTGGAGACAGAATCAACCTAGATATAGTAGTAGTAAGGGTAGGCATGGCATAAAAAGGTAGCATGCATATCCTAGCATGACCACATTGACTCTCCTAAGCTGGTGTGATCCACCATATCCATGTCGAACATCGGCTTCATTTGGGACCCCATGAGCCTAGAAGATGGTGACCCACTATTACTCGGGCTAGCAGGACTAAGCCCGTGGTTTGATAGTGTTGCTGACTGCCTCACTCGCAGGTGCACCACCTCTGCCTGAGCCACTGCCAACTGGGTCTGAAGTGCATTAATTTGTTGCTGTAGAGATGATATAGCTCCCACGCACCCATACACTGGATCACGCACCCTGGCATTAGCTTCATACACCATGCTGCTAACCGCATCTCCTCGCTGATGCACCGGTAGTTCCTGACAAACACAAGGGACCATTTTAATTCTTCAATTTTACCGTATTACCAAGTGTTTTGATCTTGAATTTCAATCTGGAAGGATCCTACACATACCTAATGTACCTATCTTATCTTTAATTGAAATAATAATTATTTCTATTAATAAAATTGAAAATTTATGCCGGCCATGTGCACATGATATCATGATTACATTAAGCATGAGTCATTTATGCTGATGAGTGTACAGAGATAAACTATAACTATACTTAGTTTTCTTGCATGATTTTTCATTTGGTCAATTGCAAGTTGCTACTTGGGGTGCATGTCTCTATCAGTTTTTTATTGGAATTACAAGCTTCCTTCGTCCACCGATTTTTTTTTACACATAAAACAAAAGATCTTTTCCCTGATAAAAAAAAATCAAGCTCTTTTTTAGAAAATGGCATTAATGTCCCTCTCATTAAAGATGACGACAAGTCTGTAAGCGTTTTATGATCTAGGGGGTCATTTTAAAAAAAAAGGTCCAGCTTCTATCTTGTCATCCCTAAATTATTAAAATTATTGAGTGCAATTTACAAATCAACAACTTCACGTGATTTTTTTTTTTTTGAAAAAAAACAGCCCTTGATTGGTAAAAAATAAAATAAAATAAAATATATCACATGGCCAGCAACTACTTGTAGAAAGCAAAACCACCCATGACATATATTTTTTACAAGAATATTTGTCTGCACTCCCATCTTAACCCCAGTTGGATTAAGAGTTAGCCTCCTAATTCTTCATTCGATGAGATAGAGACAAGGGCCTCTTTTTTCTTTTTCTTTTTTTCAAAAAAGAATTAGGAGGCTAATCTCATCTATCATGTAGATGGATTGATGTTAATTATTTGTTAAACACACTTTATTTTGTATGTGGATTGAAAAAAAAAGCATCTCCCCATCACTCTAAAACGTCTTTTCTTCGAATTATAGGAACTGACCCAAAGATTTCACACGTATTCTGTACACACATGTAAAATCAACTAAAGATCATCAAAATGGGCATCAAATTAAGGAAGCAATAACTTCAGAAGAAAATTATTACCCCCAAATCATTTTAAAATGACCTCAAATTACAGTTCAAAAGTTTAGCTTTAAGTTCAATCAAAGTAGAGAGAAGTCATTTTGTCTGCCCATGAAGTTGCTCCCAATCATACCCTTAAGTTCGTTTTCTGCAAGATGAAGACTTAAAAAGTGTTATAAAGACTAAGGAGTGTAGCTAGATAGGAACCGACCTGTAACATCTTGTTGACATTACTAGCACCAAAAACCTTGTGCACATTTGCAAACTTCTGGGGCTCATCTGCTGGAAAATAAGGGGCAAACACGCAATCTTGGGCGCACCTTCTCCTTAGAAGCTTGCATGCTGCACATGGTGAGGGTGCACCTTGTTTCCTGCCACCCTCCTTCATAGTGCCAAATGCCCGTTCTAGGTTACCACTAAACCCAACAATCTCTACTGTGGTGAGCAAACTGCCCTTCAATTTATACGGTGCTTTGCCCTTAAAGACAGGACAGGGAGGTCTAGCTAGAGATGGTTAAAAAGACAAGGATATATGTGGCTATAGTGTAGAAGAGGGAGGAGCACAGAAAAGTGGGAAATAGGATTGCTAGGGAAAAGAGAGCAGGCAGGCATGAAGAGGGGGGTAGTGGTGATTTTATAAGCAAAACCAGTACATCTGATACGGGCCCCACAAAAGGAGACCTCATAGATTTTGGTCGACCAGAAACATCTCTCGTAATGTGACATCTTTTAGCGCTATTTTTTTTTTTTAATTCTGTAATAATTTCATCCACAAAGATGATGAAAACGCCGTTTACTCAATATTTTATTTTTTAAAAATAAAATTTTAAATTATTTTAATAAACTAATATTAAAAAATAAATTATTTTACTATATTTATAAACAAAAAATCATTCTAAAATATAATTTCTAACCGTACTTTTAAAAAGTAATAGATATTAAATCTATGGTCTATAAACTATTATCAATTATCAATTCATTAATGTATTTATAATTTTCTCTTTATTTTTGATGAATTCAAATCCTAAAAGATATAAAAAAATCCATCTACCATCTAATTAAAATTAAAATAAGGCATTTTAGTGCCAAATTTTAAGGCACCAATTTAATGATAGCGTAAATATTAGATCAATGATAATAACGAAGGCATGATTTTGCTGGGGATTTTGCTATGTTAAAGATGTGTAATGATGTTCTTTTGGTCGGCCCTTCCACGTATTTGAATAGACTCATAAATCACAATGATGCAGCTAGCCAATGGTGTTTTTTTTATTCTTCTTCTTTCCCATTAAAGTACTATATATTGGCCTTTGGACCATGTACGGGAGACCTCTTCTTACTTTCTTAAGTCTTAACTTTAAAAAGATACAAGAGATAAAAAAGAAAAAAAAAAAGACTCAGTACAGTTAAAGAAAAAAAACCCATTACAGTGTATTACTATTTGCAAATTTGATTTTAAATTGCTATAAAATATAAATTTTTATCCGGAAGACATTTATTCACGCTAGTGTCTTACTATTATGATTGATGTATACATGCCATGCCGTGCTAATTTTTTAATAAAAAAGAATCAAATATCATAAGCATGTTTTTAGGAAGAAAAAAAACAATCATGACTACTAAAGTCATACATCAAACTAAATCAAATAAATTAATAATATTTAGATTTAGATGGTAATCTAAGTTAGCATGTTCAATCCTCGTCTAAAGCAATTCAATAAAAAACAAATAAAAAAATAACAAAGCATAATCTTAAAAGTATCTAATATAGAATTATAAAATTAAAAAAATATATCAAAAAATAAAATAATTTAGCAAATTTGCCTTGAACTGAAACATATAAATAAAATAATCCAATAAAAAGCACAACATAAAAAATTACAAAACATAATTGTAAAACCAAGCCAATATTTAAAGATCGAAATGGAAAAAAATTAAATGTCCAAAAAAATACTTAATTCTACTCGAATTAACTTACCAAACCATACTTTAGGTCATGAGATTGGGATGGTAAAAAAAAACTGAAGAAAATTATGAAACCCAATTTGTTTTTTTTAAAAACCAATGAGATCAAATGTTAAAAATAAAATTAATGTAAAAAAACATGAAAAAGGTTAATGTCAACTCAAGTTAATTAATTTGTGACTTAGGTTATGAGTTCGGGATCACTTCATTGAAAAATAAAATTCAATTCTTAACCAACTTAATATCAAATGATAAAATTAAAAATAATAATAATCTATTTTATAAAAAAGTAAAAACTAAATCTAAAATAAAAATAAATTAAAAGGACAACTTACCATTTTTGATTGGAGGATGAAGTTAAAAATAAAATTTAGTTTTACAAAAGGACAAAAAATAACATTCAAAATAATAAAAAATAAATTAAAAAAAAAAAGACAACTTAAAATCTTGGATTATCAAATTAAAAAAAAGACAACTTAAAATCTTGGATTGAAGAATTAAATTAAAAATTAAATTAAATTTTATTAGACAAATTAAAAAGTATGAAAATAAAATTTGAAATCAAATTAAAACAAAATCAGAAGACAACTTACATTTTCTTATAGACAGTATGAGAAGTCCAAGGAAAAGGAAGAGGAATGAGGAAAAGAAAAAAAAAATGACCATCAAAGCCACAATGTCAGTCATTATGACACACGCGTCATCACAAATAGAAGTGGATATTGATGTGCTTCCAATACAACGATAAGAGATGATGTTTGGACACCGAAAAAAGCTAAATACACTTCCACAAACCTATAATTTCTCTCATTTAATGACATGTATAGTACATTCACCAGCCAACTAAAATAAACTATCAAGCAAAATTTCAAATAAAATTAATGTGAAGGGATTAAATTAAAAAAAAAATTGAAGATCAAAATTAAAAAAGTTACATGAAGTTTCCTTTGACCATGCAAATCAGTTCTTGATGTTGCCAAAAAAAAATTGAATATTTTTTTAAGATTCAAATTTGCCTCTTGAAACCTTAATTATTTTAAATCAATAAATTTTTTTTTTTAAAATTGATCATTTAACTAAGTGATAACAAACCTAAAATAAACTACCAAGCAAAATTTCAAATAAAATTAATATGAAAGGATTAAATTAAAAAAAAAAATTGAGGATCAAAATTAAAAAAGTTACATGAAGTTGCCTTTGACCATGCAAATCAGTTCTTGATGTTGCCAAAAAAAAGATTGAATATTTTTTTAAGATTTAAATTTGCGCCCTGAAACTTTAATTATTTTAAATCAATATTTTTTTTTTAAATTGATCATTTAACTAAGTGATAACAAATTTCTTGTTACTGCTGTGTTTACTCCTACAAAATTATTTCAATTTCAACTCCTTATAGCGTTTTCTTGCACTGAACATATATTATTTTAAATTAGAAATATAATTCAAAATTCTATAGAAAGTGGGGAATACACTAATATAAGTTGCTAAACTTCAGGATGATATGAAATATTTTGAAATTTTTTTACAGTACTAGTAATAATTTCTCAGGGACTAAGATGGTATTATGCATCTAATAAAGAAACAAAGTGTTTTTTTTTTTTTTTTGAAATGGTGTGGAGCCATGGCCCTTCAATCCAAGCAGACGCGCCGCCTCAGCACCTAAAGCTGACCAAATGTTTTAAAAATCTAGTCAAGGCTCAAAACTAGTTTTTGTTTTTTTTTTAATCCAACCACCCCTAAAAGTTATTGAACTAAATGACAAATAATTTATTCAATACTTTCAAAGACAATGGTTTTTTTAAAAAAAAGGCACATATTTTTCTTGCTATGTTGGCTAAAAACTAGTAGCAGTCATGCAAGAGTTCGGCATGCTAAAAAAATGCAAGTCGGAATACCACCCTTGTTATAGCACGAGTTGTGTAATAAAGTGATACAATGGTGGCGTGGGTTATCGGTTGTTGGTTTTTTCTTTTTTCTTTTTTTGTGGGTGATCCGATGTGTACGTTGGAATTCTAGCTCTTAAATTCCACGCCTTTATTTTTGATGTTTGGGTGATGCGGCATTGGATGAAGTATAAAATCATGTGAAGTTATGGAATAATTAAAAGAAAGAACTTGATTTAAAATAGACTAGGTGCACTGCCTGTAAGTGTCTCCTTTTTATTTTCCTTGGCTATTGTGATGACTTCGATATCGTCAACATATAGGATTCATACAATAGGAAGATGGAATTTATTCATGGAGTGTGTGATGGAGTAGCCCACAACAAACAAAATAACCTAAGATTACAACACAAAACAAGCAATAACATGGGATTGTTGGGTTTCGATACCTATTAATAAAGATAAAAGCAACACAAGAAAAACAATAAGTATAATAACATGAAAATATATCGATTATGGATCACATATAAATCCTAATTCAAAATTTTATTACTAGATTTTTTTTAATTAGTCTCTTGAAACACAAGCTAAACAACCTTATTTACACTAGTAAAAACATCCTAAACAAATTTAGAAAAATAATAAAAGAGTTCTAAATCAAATACAGAAAAAAATCCTAAACAAACTAGTAAAAATATTGCAAATCTTAAATAGTAACTTCTAGACCTTATTCAAAGATTTTTTTGATATCTGATGGCTACGAAATCTTAACCTTAGAGAAAATATGGCTTCTATAATTTTTGA